CAGCTGCTGCTGCCGCCGCTGCAGCAGCAGCTCCCGCAGCAGCTGCAGCAGCTGCTGCTGCTGCCGCCTCCGCTCTTCCGTGTGGTTATCTGTCGCTTAGTGAATCTGTAGCAACAGTGCCAGCAGCAGCAGCTGCAGCAGCAGCAGCAGCAGCGAGGGCTGCACCAGCAGCACGGCGAAGAGCTGTAGCAGCAGGCAGCAATCTGGGGAGAACCCGACGCCAAAACCCTAAACCCTAAACCCTAAACCCTAGACCCTGGGCTGGATTTGAACTGAAAGCAAATGTCTTTGTCTTTGAAGGCAGCTACTGGTTCTGCCTCAGTTACATCTACTTCTGCTGCAGCGCCAGCAGCAGCAGCAGCAGCAGCAGAAGCGGGAGCAGCAGCAGCAGCAGGAGCAGCAAAGAGCTTCGCCTCCTTTGCTGCGCGGCTGCATGCAGGGGCCCGCAGCAGCAGCGATCTTCTCCACTCCCTTGCTGGTTTCATTCCAGCTGCTGCTGCTGCTGATGGCGCACCAACAGCAGCAGCTGCAGCTGCTGCTGCTGCACAAGACGGGCATGGGAAGGAAACGGCAGCAGCAGCTGCTGACGCAGCAGCTGCAAGAGCAGAAGAGCAGCAGCTGCTGCAGAAGCTGCAGCAGCTTCGGCTGCAGCAGCAGCAGCAGCGAGAGGAGGACCTAGACGACCTGGACGGGCCCGTGCTGCTGCGGCAGTTGCAGCAGCGGGATTCAGAAGTGCTGCTGCTGCTGCAGCGCAACAGACAGCTGGAAGCAGCAGCAGCGCAGCAGGAGCAGCAGCTGCAGCAGCTGCGGCAGCGGCAGCAGCAGGAACACACTGTGCTGCTGGACGTGCTGCAGCGCTTCGGCGTGGTGGACGCGAGCCTCGCAGTTGCTGCTGCTGCTGCTGCTTCTGCTGCTGACCCCTCCAGCAGCAGCAGCAGCAGCAGCAAAATGATAGATGTCTTTGTGTGCGCGCAGCGCCTCTCTGCCCATTTGCTGCGGCTCGAAACAGACAGAGGAGCTCTTGCTTCTTTTTGTTTGCTGCTGTTTCCCCGTGAGATGTCTTTGCAGCTGGTGGCTGC